TCAGTCCTGCTTCATGGCACCTTTAGCTGATTCCTAACTGTGGAGCAATCCATTTCTTCACCAAGATCGACTCATTTTAAAAATGCATAAAAGCTCATGAAGGGATAAAAGAAATGAAAGTATTAAAAATCAGCATCCATTGTAGCACATGGTTTCTTAGGGGACTTTTTGAGTAGCGAGTCTGAGCAGATTGCTTGGCCAAGTGCCAACAGAGTAACTAATATCACGCCCTAATCCGGCTGTGGTTATTTTCTGGCATTTCATGATTCAGTCATCTGAAGATCCGATACTCCCAGTAGACACTGATTATCCAAGTGTTTTGTTTCTCTTTCCTGACATGCTTACTGTATCACAATTCATTTGAGTGGCAATTTCTTAGTGACTGAATTTTGTAGTTTTCCACATTCAGAGGCTGTTTTTTGGCACGAGCAGAAATGGCAACATAAAGGTTAAGCAAATGAAAACAGAATAAATTTCTAATAAAGGCTACACATTGCGTCTGGTGTTACACATAGTGGATTCATTATCCCAAATTCCTTGCTGCTCGGCATCAGTATCCTTGACAAGCCTAGCCAGACTGGCCTGGCAACCAGCCACATGAATAGCTGGCCCCAAGTGCCGTTCCCCAGATGTACCATGGATACAAAGGATTCGGGAAGAGCTGCCATAGCGCGGCGTTATGGTACGTTGCCAATGCTAATGCACTGAACAGCAGAGGAGAAAGTGGCAGAGGTGAACCTCACGTAGCTGTAGACAGCAGTTTAATTCTGCTTGAAAGACAAGAGAAGGTGGAGAGGGCACTTTGCAACAGGAGATCCAGCACACGGATGAGCAGACGCCAGGACCGGCAAGCAGTCGGCTCGCGTATTCCGCCGTGCAGACCCCCACGAGAAGGGGACACGCCACGGGAAGGTCACCACAGGCCTCAGAGCCCAATCAGTAGGAAATTATTAATGACTGCAAGCTCCAGAACTGCCATTTTCAGCTGCACGCTGTTTCTTCCAGGAGCAAACTGAAGGAGTTGCACCCTGGAGCGTCAGCTGCCAGACAGCCGAGGTTGAGCTTTGTACCTAGTTCTTTGGACAAATTTACGTGAAACAGTCTTGCTGCTCTGACTGCCCAAATATTCTCTGTAATTTGTATTGTTTAGGACCATTATGCCAGAATTTCTTAGTTCCAATGTCTGACTTGCCAGACAGGCACAATTTGAATAAAAGAGGAAGCACAGTAACTGCAAGGCTATCACCATGCTTATGTTCAAGATGGCAAAGGCTCAAATTTACCACCCCAAGAAAGAGTATTTCCCCAGATCTGCAGGAAGATGTCCTCTTCTAAATATTAAGGGATCACTGGGATGTTACAAAGATATTTATAAATACCTTATTTAAGCCAGCAGATAGGCTGGCAGATTTGCCCAATGGCAACATTTGGGCCATTAATCTATCTGCTTAAAAGCGTTGTTGTCCTTACTAAGTCTTCTGTAGAACATTTAAAAATAATATCCTACAAAAGCAATCTTTCAAAAAGCTTGAGCATGTTACAATGCAGATTTCTGGTTATCTGTTGTGAACACAGTGGTGTAACTGCAGTTTTAGATCCAACTACTGACACAATTCTTCCCATCATGATAAATCTCAACAAAACATCATGTTTCAGTTTTAAAATTTTAACTCTGTTACAACCAGGTTTGCTGTGGGGTTTTTTTTGTTTGTTTTGTTTTTTGTTAAAATTACTGCAGCCTCTATGGGGATACCAAATCCCAGCACCATATAAACAATAACTCCCCCCCACCCCCCAATTTATGGACAGCACCCTTGCCATACCAGTTTCACATTTACCAGTCTGATGTTTTCTAGCTGTGAGGGGTGGTGTGGTAAAATAGTCAGTTCCAGCTTTTAGCTGTCTTGGCAGATGAGACGCATCTCATCCAGACACTCACTATTACAAGGCTCAGGCTCCTTTTACTTCAGGAACTTTCTAACTTCACAGAACTGTTCAAAATAAATTTAACATTTTTATCACATTCTTTCTCTTTCATCATCTGACTCTCTGCTTTATAGGTTTTCACTTCACAGGCTCAAAAAAAAAAAATCAACCAAAATCCTCCCAAAACTATCTGAGCTTTCTACTTGCTGCAGGGCACTCAATTAAGCCATGTACCACCTGGCTTCTATATTCTGCTAGATGTCCCCAGCAAATCAGAACATTTCTGTTTTATATTGAATACGTTTACAGAGCTGCCCAGATATTCAGAGTATTACTCGGTTACCTAACTTTCAAGCATCAGCTGGAAGCCAATACATTATCTCCACGGGGTTGAGCACAACTCCCATTAATGTAATAGCCTCTCTGTAATATTAATGCCTTCTTCATTTATCATTTTCACATATTAACTTTCAGAATGGAGCTGTCTCTCATTACTGTGACTTCTTGAATTCAATCTTTTTTGTCTTCTCCAACAACTCAAACTAAAAGAAGCCATTCTTTGACAAAAGCCATCTGTCAGTAATGACTGTCTCCTGCAAAACATACATTAGTATATTTTGCTTGAATTCAATATGCTTAATGCAGCATCTGTCACTCATGTTGAGAACACAAGAGAAGACAATGATTAATTTCAGTAATTGGATTTTCTACTCTGTCCCAGAACACGTAAGGACCAAAAATAGTTCAGGTGCCTCTGAAGCAACAAATGAAGTCTGAATTCACTGTTATTTTCATGACTTAATATCAACATTTCAATTTAAGCACTAACTTTTGTGTTTAAGTACACATCAGCAATGTCAGATTTGTGACTTAACCAACTGAAGTATGTATAAAAGATTTATGGGTAAGTTACTCAAGACACACTCACTCTGGCCAACTTATCTGAGTTGTTCTATCTTGATCCTTAAAACACTGTATTTTATATTTAACAGTATTAACAGAATTTAGACCCAAAGCAATAAACCATTTGTTATGGGAGTAGGTTGGCTTAAGCTTGTAATCAAAGTCCTCTGGTATAGAAAGAAACCAAACCCATGTTTCTTGGTCCCAGAGAAGGGTATTAACCAATTGCTATGGCTGTGCTCTACAAAAGGGATATGTAGTACGCTGTCAGGGCATAGTCTGTTGTATCGCTACATAGCCACTTAAATAGTACACCGCAAATATTAAACAAGATCAGAACTCAGTAAATAAAGTTGACACTATCAGTAGAAAGAACACAAGCATCTTTCATCTGCCTAAAGACGTACACGAAAATGACCCATGGTTTGAACCAACTACTCTTACATACTAATACAACTAAAAAACTCTGGGACAATAAGACTGGGCAACCAGACTACCAGCAGTGGTTACGTTAAGCGCTCAACAGCAGTTTCTTGTCAATCTCAGCCAGTCTCACCCGAGAGGGGATGACCTAGGTCCCTCTCTTACGGACAGCTTTCCTCCTGAAAACCCCAGCCGAGACAACCCCTTCCCCTCAGAGCTCAGCAGCTGTGAAACAACACTGAGGCGAGAGAACGACAGACTGCCCAGAGCCTTCCGCGCGTTGTACCGAAGCTGCGGGGAACACCGCCCTGCGGTGCCTCTACCCCAGCG